CTAGGGGAAAATATAATAGGTTCAGATAACTAAACTAAGAATCACAAAAACAACCCCTAAAACATCCAATCACAACAATAGCAAAAGGCTTGTTTTAATGTTGAAAAGCCCTCTAATTATCTCTAATTATGAATATGAAAAAAAAAAATATTTTGAGTTTAAAAAATAGTGCATCTTGCAACACATTATATTTTTTAGATTTTCATATGTTATAGATCTACTCGATTTTAATTATTTTTAGAGTTTAAAATTTTATAATTAAATATGAAAATAGATTTTCAGATAATCTTACGAACTTTTAACACAAAAAATACATATTATGATAAAATTTGGAGGTGCTGCAACCTTATAGAAAACCCACCTTTTATTTATATATATATAGGATTTGCGTAAGGTTGCGACCTTAATCAAATTAAAGCACACCTCTAAATTTTATCATGAGTCAAAATTCTGAAGATATCTTACGAATATATTTTTATTTCTAATTATAAAAATTTTTAACTCCAATAATAATTCAAAACAAGTAAATCTATAAACACACAAATTTTGAAAAAATGGACGATCCAAATAATGTGTTGCAAGTGCACTATTGTTGGGACTCAATATCTTTTTTTTCTTTTAAACATTCTCGACGTCAAGATGGTCAATTGAAGGGTTTTTCAACATCAAAACGGTATTTTCTAATGGATTTTGTGCACCTTTTTCTGAGAGAAATTTTAAGGTGCACCTTAATTCTACATTTTAAACATAGAAAAGGGGGCCGTGCATTTCCAACCGAGTAGCATACCTCCCTTGTGCAAAACCAAGCTGCGCTACCAACAAAACTAACTTCAAATATAACACATAAGAATCATGAAAGAGAAAGAGTACCGTGTAAAAATTGCAATAGGATTTAATTCTCCGGTTTTCATAATCACAATGAGATATTGCTCATACTTTACCCTGGTCGAATATAATTCTCTAGTTTCATAATAGCAATAACTTATTGCTCCCTAGAGATATTCTGCCTCCAATTCCATGATTATAGAAGGCACTGAGCCCTTCAAAAGCTTCTACTCAAATTTTTACCAAGCACAAGAAATGATCAAGCTCTTTCCTAGCATTGGGCTCCAAATAAACATTTATCTATGGTTGGTCGTCACCATCATCAGCGTAGCCTTTTTCCAACTATTTGGGGTCGGCTACATAAATGATGGTTGACCATTGTGCTCTATCATAGGCCATACCCTCAGTGTGGCCAAAAGTCCCCATATCTTTGACTGGTATTTCCAGTTTATATATAAATGTCTCGTGACATTTTAGTTTCATAGCCTGAATACCAACTACAATGACGCTTCAGATTTTTAAATGAACTGGCACATTAATATATTTATCGTACTGAAATTCAATCAAATCCAAATCTAGGTTGAATTCATCTAAACATACTTCACTGACAGCCAGGAGTCCGGAATCATGCAATAAATACACATTTTGAGAATGATAAACTAATTTCTATCATGATGCATGTCAACCATAAAAAGAAAGAGGGCCATGCTAATGCAGTGTCAATGTTTATATCATTTAGCATCCTCCTGTCAGATTCAACAATAAAAATTACGAAAAACTACAGAGCAGTGTTCAATAGGAAGGTCACAATGCACTTACAAACATCAAGATGCATATCATTCACTATGGGGACATATGCTGGTGATGATAAGTGTCAATAGGTTTCCATCTCAAGGGAATAGAAAACTCAGTATTGGGTATTGCCAAAACAACATCAAAACAATTTCCAGTTTCACTCACGACTCAACAAACAACATCAAAACAATTCCCAGTTTCACTCATGACCAAACAAATCTCAAGCGCCATGGATCCTATCCTCGCAAGGAATATAGCAGAATCACATGGGCCGCATTAAACTTCCATAAGGATCCCATTCTCTTTTGCTAAAACAATATGACAACAAAACATTTGAAGCAGTAGGAATGGGAAAGCCAGGCCCTGGGCCACAAAATGTGACCCAAGGAAGAGGCTGGGCCAGACCCAGCCCGATACTTCGTATTAATTTCCTTTTTCTTTCCTTTGAAACTATTAGACCCAGCCTAGGCAAAGGCCAGGCCAGCAGGCCTCTTCAGTCCATGTCTGGCCCAGCCCAGGCCAGGCCTGTTTCCAACCCTTCACGTTGGCTTTGTCAATAGGATTTAGACTTGGCAATAACTTGCACATCACGAATAAAATGCTTAAAGGAAGAGAACCAATCACAATTGGGTAGTCTAGGTGAGACGGGTGATGACTCCTAGAGGAGATTTCAAACTGTGATGAGAGGGAGGAGCATGCAATGTTGATATAGAAGAAGGCCAATAAGGACAAAGGAACTCATCTTAGTATCTTTCATAGCAAAGCTCCACTTAAAACCCATTTCATTTATTAAAAAACATTTTCAAAAGTATGAATTTTGAAGCAACTTATAGAACTCGATATTCCTGAAAAAATGAAACATAGCCAGAATATATCATCTAAAAAACATTTCCAAAAATCTCTAAAACTTACCTTGTAACTTTCTTGAGGCACCCAGAAGGTATTAAGATTAGTTTGTTATTTGATGAATTTAACACAATGGACTGAATTTTTTTAATGTTTTAATCAAAAGTTCATACATTTGATTTACACGCTATCATCACATAAATATACCAGTTTAGATTCCAAATTTTGAATCAAATTCAAACAAATGACTTTTCCCCACAAAAAATTCCATGGCACTTTTTTTTTTTGAACCATTTCTTTGACTCAATTATTTTTGGGACATTGCTGACTTTTGTATACTGATTTATTGCAGTACCATGTGTAGCACTACCATGACTTCATTAGGCAAGAGGAGGTTAGCTGGTACCAGATTCAGGTAGTTCATGGAGGGTCAAAGAAACATTCGCATTCTCTTTGATAAGACAGGAATGCAAAAAGAAGTTAAGTGAACTGCATATTTAAGGTAACCAGTAAGAAGTTCAAAATTTGTTGCGTAGAGGTATGATGAGTGAGAGATTGAGGTGGTGAGTGGTGAGTGATTGATGTTAAGTGAGAAAAATAGGAGAGTGTGGTTAAGTGTAGAAAGAGAGAGGAGAGTGGGTGACATGAGAGTGAAGAGAGTGCAGTAAGAGAGAGAAAATGTGATTAAAAAGCGTGTAATGAGTGATAAATATGATTGTGTACAAAATATAGTTTTTTATGAGATTCTTTCTCTATCTAGTTTGCGAGAGTGTGTTTATATTGCAGAAATTCTGGCATGTAATAGACTGCAAAAAATTCCTACAGTTGGTATCAGAGCTTCCACGTACTTTCTACAAGTGGTTTTAGAGCTCTAGGAAATTCTTACAATAAATTGCCACAAGGGCGCCATGCTCTAAGAGACCAGACTACGTCAAACTGAGAATTAAGAAACACCCTTTAATGCTTTAGCTGCCGAGAATTAGATTAAGTGAAGCAAATCCTTTAATGTTTTACACTCAATCTGCTGATGAATATTGTTGGTTTAGGTCCTAAACTTGAACACTAGAAAATCAAATGAGGCTTGTTGGAATATGCACATGTTCCCTAGAACGTATCATTTCATTTGTTCCCAAGTAAACCAAAGAAAAACCATGGGATCAAGTCCTAAAAAGATGAAAGGAGTCTAGTTCTATGAAAAAACATTCTTATCCTTTTCAAAAATGAAACTCTTATAAAGAGGACTCAACAACATTCTAGTATATCTTCCAAATGCTTTCAAATGTGACCATAATAATGGAGAGATTGCTTTGGCAAGTCCGTGGTGACGAGTAGTAACATGGGAAAGGGGTATGAGACTTGAGGAGGGTCAAGGATAAGACAAGCTAGACTGATCAACTGAGCAAAATTAGGAAAGTGAAACAGAGTTTTGACAAAAGTGCAATAATCCTTAGAAATAGTCATGAAACATAAAACTGATTGAAAGAGGGAGACATGGAGGCACAGCGAGTCAGGAAGAATCTAGGATATCAGGGGCACAAAAGGCAACAAGCACAATGAGTATAGAGTTTTTGAAAGAGATTAGACAGGCAGAAATAGATCTGCATACGAAGTTATACCTAATCAGACACTAACCATTATAACACCAGGTAACAAAGAGATCTGCCTATGAAGTTATAACTAATCAGACACTAAACATAAGAACACGAAGTTACAATGAACTGCAAAGTTTTAGGGTGAGTTTTAATCATATTAGAGATCACCAAGACTCACATTTTCCAAATCATACAATGGATATAATGTTTTCAAACCAAACATAAGAAAATAAAGAGGAGGAAGAACTGTAACAACATGTGAAAAAACTTATTGAGCCAAACATTCCACTGTCCACTTCCATCATAAATAACCGCAACAATGGATCCATTTTTTTATGATTAAACAATTCCATTAAAGGAATTATATTTCTCTCATCAAAATAGTATTCAAGCATGAACAATGCATCAATGTCCTACATGAGTTTCTTGTGTCCTTTAATATCCCCAACTACTACTTCTAACTAATATAGACCCCACTGTTTTGGCGTTGTCCCTGAATGTATAACATCTAAAGAAGCTATATGTTTCCAAGAGATGCTTTAGCATATTTATCTAAACAGTAAATTATAATTCACTCAAGTCACCATTTCTGTGTAGGAAACTATAATCCTCTAATAATTCAACAAATGCAATCATATATTTTCAAGAGCTGGTTTACCAATTTATCGAAACAGTAAACCATAATTCACTCATGTCACCAATTCTAGGTTGAATTCAGGAAACTATAATCTTCATGTAATTCAACAAATGCAATTATATATCTTCAACAGTTGTTTTAACACACACATCTAAACAGTAAACTATACTTCACTCAAATCGCCAATCCTAGGTTGAATTCAAGAAAATATAATTCCTCAAATAATTCAATAACTGCAAACATATGGAAAAAGACTCATTTCTCTAATAAAGGTTATTAACAATACAAAAGAGTTGCTAATGCAGTAATTATAAATTGGATTTCGCACATTCTTATCAGATTCATATCCCTTCCAAATAACACATAAAAGATGACAATTCATTACTCAGTTTAAAAGAGAAAATGGGAAGTTAAAGGAAATTAAAAGCATAACTGTCTGTATTCCTGCCAAAATCTATAGGAAAAAAAAAAACAGCCTCATCTAAATCCACACTTGAGATCCTCAATCTCCATATTAACTCTCAAGGGCACTAGTTAAGCTACAAATATGAAATCCTTCAGTAGCTCATGCTCAAGAGAGAGAGAAAAGATCCTAGAGAGAGAATAACTAAATGAACGAGAATATCCAGTTTACCGGGGTCTCATTGGCTAAAACACTTAATCCATAACCAAAACATGACAAAGAGAAAATTCCACAAACCACAAAAAGGAGATCAAATGACTTCTTCAGAAGCGGAGCTTAGTGAAGAACCACCTGTTCTTCCCAGTCTTGAACCTCTCCTCAAATCGAGCCTTAGCGTCTTTAGCAACAGTGACCTTCTTATCATGAGATTGCAGAGCCTCGAGTGTGATTATATCTTTGAGATCGACATCAAGAGTGTATCGAGTAGGCATGATGTGGTTGTAGTTTACCAGTTTGACGAAGACCTTAACCCTAGATTTCTTTGCAGTCTTCTTTGCTGAATCCTTCCTGATAACCTTTTTAGGATATTTCGCGATCCCTGCAACAAGGCAATGGCCATATGGGCGATCTCTCGTCCCTTCATCAAAGGCACGAATAATCACGGCTTTGCGACCAGCAAATCGACCTTGAAGGAGGATCACGGCCTTGTTAGGCTTCAAAAACTTCACCATCTTTGCTTCTTCTGATGCCTCCTCTCTCTCGCTCTCTCTCTCTCTCTCTCTCTGTAAGCGAAACGCAAGGTTTGTAGAAATAGGGTTTTTAAGGACAATGAAACCCTAGAATTGGTATTGGCGAATGTGGGAGATCGCATAAAAGCCCTTGTTTTTATTTGAAATGACAATAGAAAGCAAAAGGGGAAGATCACAGAAAGCCCTTGTCTTTGTTTGAATGACACGAATAGGACCTCACGGGTCGTGTTGGGCATAGTTTTGGAGGCCATTATGCAAAGCACACGGTTTATATAAGTCCCCGGACTCATAATTACAAATGCGCCCCGTTCTTAATAATCTATTTTGGAAAGAATTTTGGCCTTCATTTTTAAGAAACATATAATCTCTAAGATGGAGATCAGTTATATGTAAATAAATAAATTTTAAAGACTGAAAATAAATAATTTTTTAATGATATATTTATTGGTTTTTGATTTTTTTGGTTTTCGATTTTTTTTTTTTTTTTAAAGGACAGCCTTTTACATTCATATTTAAGATGGATATTTATGCGACAGGAATGCATCCCCACGCAAATAATAATTTTCCTGCCTAATGATCATGTTTCATCTCCAATCCAAATTCATAGGCTCAAATGAGGGACTTTAGCGCAATATATTTAGAGTATATTTGGAAAAAGGTTCATATAGGGGTGAGGCCCTAAACAATATTCAAAAATTCATTATAACGAGAGGGGGGGGTCCTTTATGACCTCTCTTTCAAATGAAAACTATCAAATAAAAAATTAAATTAAAAAGAATAAAAATAAATATGAGGCAAGTGAGTCTCTGACAAAACCGGGGAACCGTCACTAACATAACCGAAGAACTGGCCGGCTCCGGCCAGTTCATAAGGGAACCAACCGATCGGTTCCCAGCATATGGTTGGAAGTCATAACAACCAAAATATTGCATAGTCCTAACAATTTTACACCATAAAAATACAGTGCTTGTTTAAAACATTGCACCAATTTACAAACTTCATAAGTTATGTCCTTTTTCAAATTTGACAAAGGATAATTATATCTAGAAATAGTAACATTTTGAAGGAGTACTTGCATTCATAATTTGTGAAATAAGAGACTTTCTCATAAGGGTGCAATTTGTATAGAGCCGAGGCTCTAAACAATCAAAATTGAGCCCACCTTCAAATAGTGTTGGGAAAAACGGTTCCGTGCGGGAAAATTTTGTGATAGCCTTAAATTATATTTTCATCTTTAGTTATAAATTTAAAGTTTCAAAAATAGTGTAGATCGATCAGATCTATGAAAACTTGAAAATCTTAAAAAATGACAGTCGAAAAATGCGTTACAAGATGCACCATTTCCAAAACTTGAAATTTATTTTTTTCTCATGTCCATGCATCTTGATGTCGAGATGATCAATTTGATGATATTCGGGTATCAAAACAACCTCTTCTAGTTAATGCTTTGAAGTAGGCTCTAATTTGATTGTTTAGAGCATGGGCTCTATATAAACTTTTCCCTTCTTAAAAATAGAAATAAGAGGGAGATTCTTGCGATAAATCCTATCCTCCATATGCTAAACTCTCTCTGCCTGTTTTTAAAAGATCACCTACCTATGTTACCTCTGGCAAATAGGGTCCCCATATATTCTAACAAAAACGTATCAAACCTGCTATTGAATATATCCACAATAGACAAACACTAGTTCAATGCGTCACTAAAATAAGAACATATGATGAAACTCTTATGGAAAGAGTTTATATAGAGCCGAGGCACTAAACAATCAAATTAGAGTACACAAAAATTTCACTATAAGAAGTTGTTTTCATGCTCAAATTGATCATCCCGACATTAAGATGCATGGACATGAGAAAAAAAAAATGGATTTTAAGTTTTGAAAATAGGGAATCTTGTAATGCAATTTTGGACAGTCAATTTTCAAGATTTTCAAGTTTTTATAGATTTGCTTGTTCTATACTATTTTTGAAGCTTTAAATTTTATAATTAAAAATGAAAATATATTTTAGAGAAAATATCTCCATAAACTCTATTTTTAAGTTTCATTTCTCCGTAAACCCAAGGTTTTAAAACCTATCTAGCTGTATAAATATTCTATTTATTATATTTTTAAACCCTCTAAACCAACTTTATCTTATTATTTAGCCCAAACAAATTTCACAAAGACATTATTTTTAAACCCCTCTCTCTATGTTTTTCTCATTCTCTCCAATCTCCCAAACCCCTCCCTTTCTCTATTCCTCCAACTCTCTCTCCCTCCCCCGGTGTCTCTCACCCTATTCCCCCAACTCTCTCTCTCTCTCTCTCTTGAAAGAAGTACATGAAGATAGAGAAAGAAGAGAGAAAGCTAGGTTTTTTTTGAGATGTCTTTTTCAAATTTGTTTTGACTTAAATATTAAGGTAAAAATGGATAAATATAGTTTAGGTGGTAGAAGATATAAAAGATGAAATCTCTATGTTGTAAGATAGGTTTGAAAAGTTTGAGTCCATCGAAAAATGAAATTTAAAAATTGGGTCTATAGAGATATTTTCCCTATATTTTAAAATTATCATAAAAAATTTCAATATTAAAACTTCATTTCTCCATACGATTTGAAGGGGCTCTAATTTGATTATTTAGAACCTTGGGTCTATACAAACTGCATCCAATTCATATTAACCCTTGTGAACAACTGAAACCGTAGGTCTCTTGTTTATGGAAAATATGGCCTCGATTTTCATCTCGCAAAAGGTCCTAATTATTAAGGCTCAGAATTTACCAGGTTAGGATCCGAAACCCAAATTTTGGATCCTATCCAAATCTAAAATTTGGATACGATGGATTGGATCCGGATAGAATTTGGGTACAAATGGATCCGATCTGGATCCAACCCAGTTATTAATATATTATATGCATATATGTTATAAACCGTTTTGTTATATATAATTTTATGGTATAAAATAATATATAAAATACATTTCTTTTAATACGATTGGATCCGGATCTGGATCGAGATCCAGATTCAAATCTAAATTGAGATCCAGATCGAGATCCGGATCCAAATTTGAATCTTCTGGATCCGATCGCATCGGAATCCAAATCCGTATCCCATGTATACTTTTCATATATGAATCCAGATCTTTCCGGACCCGATCCGACCCATCGCAGCCTATTAGTTATCCCTCATATGCGAAATTGGACGGCAAAGGTGTGCCAATTTTTGCATCCGAAACAACATTTTTGGAACTTTCTTACACCTCCAGTGTCACACCTCAAGAATTTACAATACTGTTATTCCTGAGATGTGACAGACAAAACATATATACATCTATTGATAGGACAAATTTACAGTGGCGAGGTCTTACAAAGTAAATAAAGAAAGCTAGCACAACAACATTATCTTCCAAGGTTGATCTTGACTAGCACTCAAAATGAATCCGCAGTTATCCTGATAAAATATTTACCATAGTTTGATGAGTTTGGCTACTCAGTAAGTGATCATCATAATCCTAAAAAATATTTATGATTGAAAGATATCAATATTTTCAAAAAGAAGATCTATTAACATAAATGCATCAACAGTTTCACTTTCAATAAATGCATAATTAAGTATAACCCGAATAATTGAAATGCACATAACACTTTAACGCGTCAATGCATAATTCAAAGGATTTCACAAAATACCCTACTGGCGTCCCTAGTAGGTCACCTATATACCCCATCAGTGTCCTGATAGGTCCACTTAATCCCTATCGGCGTCCCAGATAGGTCCACTTAATCCCTGCAGGTCCACTTACACCTCACCGGCGTACCGGATGAGTCCACTTAATCCCTACCGGCGTCCCGGATAAGTCCACTTATACCTCACCGGCGAACCGGATGAGTCCACTTGCATACTTAAATTATTTCAAAATCTCTTTAAACATTTGAAAGCAGCAAATATCATGTACTCAACATATCACTGAAATCACTAATATAAATTTCACTGACACCACTAATAACAGTCACTTTCAATAACATTTCAACCAATCAAATATTTTGGGCTCAAATTTAGAAAGGTAACAATTTATAAAGACATTCTAGCATAATTGCCAATCTAATATGTATAGGAAAACTCTTATAGAAATTCAAGAATACGAAATTATCACAATTTATGGGATGTTAATTTGCAAATAAACATTTCACAACAATGCTATAATCAAATGCAAAAATATCAATTTTCAGATAATAAGGCAGTCATTCGCATATGAAATTTACAATGTCTAAATATTTAAAAACAGTAGAAAGAATCTCACAATTTTACTAAAAGCAGAAATATCACATTTATTTCTAATAATTTGATAGTATCTAAAATTTTCTAACAATAGCCAAGAAAAATAAATAAATTTATTTTTCTAAGAATTTACAGCATTTAAAATTTCTAACATAGATAAAATATCACAATTTTTATTAAAAAGATTATTTTTCAAGATAATGAGGTCATGTGCGCATAAAATTTATCGCACCTAAAATTCATGATAATAAACAGAAATCTTTATTTCATTTTATTTTTAAAAAGAATGGATTATTTTTCGAGACAATGAGGTCACTTACACACAAAACTGATAAAATAAAGATCTTAGACGAAAATATCACTATTTATTAAAAATAGACTATTTTTCAAAAAGACGATATCACTTACCTAAAATATTTGAGAGGAACTTCGATAAAATTCGGCTAGAGAGAGATAGGCGGTGAGAGCACCATGGATAAAGTCCTTCGAAGAAGTAAAGCCGAAAGGCTTTTCAGTGACACTTTTTAGACCAAAGGATAATTTCTTTTATAAAACATACATGGCTTAACACGCATGATGCAAAACGTCACGCATCATTTAAGTGTGTCAATAGAGGGTTAACTGCAACTGCCACCACACAATATTACAATTAAGCAGCATCTTATGGAGGCACGTCAACTTTACTTACGCTGGCAAGAAGAAAAGTTTTGGACGCTTGCATACAATTATGATAAAAGAGCTGATGGACCAAAAGTCCACCTTAAAGGAATGGACTAGCAGAAAAAAACTATTTGAAAAATAGTAACTTTGAATTATTAATCAAATATCCAAGAAACCTGAGTCCATATTTAAATTGAGGAGTATTCTTTTTTTTTGCATAAGAGAAAGATGGTCCCCGTTGTGCATTTTGCCACCATGAATTATCGTTCTAAATATTTCATTATATATTTTATTTTATTTGATTTATTTATTTATTTTTATTGTATTTATTCTATTAAAACTATTATTATTATTTTTTTTTAAAAAAAAATTTCAAGATTATTACATCCAGACACTCAATTTCACATCTTGGCCGATTCAAGCACGATTGTTTTTTAGTCAATGCTTAACAAAAGCTCTCTTAGCTTTAGTGGTAAGAGGTATATTAGGGTATAAGTGGCCAAGTAAACGTTACCAAATAACTCAAATTAAGCACTACAAGTGATCTAAGACCATTGTTAGAAAAACCGGGCGTCGAAAAACCAGGCGATCTAACCGGTAACCGCTTGGTTAGATCGGAACCGGCTCCTTGCCGGATCCAGTTTTGGTGATTGACCAGTATTTTAAAAATAATAAATAAATAAATAAATATATATCTATATATATATATATATTTATATATATCGCCTGATTTACCAATTAAGCCGGTTAAACCACTCCCAGCCCCATATCTGGTGAACAGTGTCTAAGACTGAATAAATAGAACACTTGATCCATACTTGGGCTTGACCAGTTGAGGCTACCCGAACTATGCAGAATGAAAATAGCATACTAGAAAGTCCAAAATGGTAGGCTCCTGTCAATATTTATGTCATCACTTGCACCTAACTTAAAATAAGGCCATGGAAGATGATTGGCTTCAAATAGACCACAAGTGGAGTCAATAATGAGAACTGGTCTTAGCTTTCCCTTGCCTAACTTACACTGTTGTTCTTCTAATCCTCCTCAAGAATGAAGGATTCTTCAAACCTTCTCTTCACATTGAGATGCATAGAGAAAAAAGAGTGACAAGTTCCATGTATGCACACTGATAATCTTGGCCATGGCTCATCATGTTTTGATGGTTTGCTCCCCTGCACAAGGTCACATCAACCCCGCTCTTGAACTCGCTAAGCGGCTCGTCAAGAAGGATTTGCGTGTCACCTTTGCCACCACAGCGCACGGTCTTAGCCGCATCCATCAAGCCATCGACATTGTCTCCTTTGCCTCCTACTCTGATGGTTTCGACCAAGGATTCGACAATTCTATTGCTTTTGCAGACTATGTATCCCAATTCAAGCGCTTGGGCTCCGAAACATTGGCAGCTCTAATTCGCAACTTGGCTAGCCAAGGTTGTCCTGTAACCTTTATCATATACAATTCTGTGGTCCCTTGGTCAGCTGATGTCGCCGATGAGCTCGGAATCCCCTCTGCCCTCCATTGGATACAATCCGCGACTGTATTCGTGATTTACTGGAACCACTTTCGCGGCAGCAAAAGTAGCAGTTACCTCATTTCAACTACCAATGTTAGAGTTACAGGCATGCCATTACTTAACATAGAGGACCTCCCCTCCTTCCTCCAACCATCAAATACTAATAATATTGCAGTCGAATCGCTTGTAGAGCTGTTTGAGATGCTGGATAGCAGAAGGATTGATTGGGTGATAGCTAGTACTTTTGATGCATTAGAGAAGGATTTGATATCGGCTATGGAGAAGGAAAATATGACACTCTTAAGCATAGGGCCATTGGTCCCATCAGCATTTATCGATGGAAAAAATCCTGAAGATACAACTTTTGGGGGTGACATGTGGGAGAAGTCCAAGGACTACATGGAGTGGCTTGGCTCCAAGCCTGTTGGATCTGTGGTCTACGTCTCTTTTGGTAGCTTGAGAGTTCTCTCACCAATGCAAGCTAGGAACATAGCCCGAGCATTGTCAGAAAGCAGGCATTCTTACCTGTGGGTTGTTGGATCATCAGAAAAGGCTCTACAAAACATAGAAATTGAAGATAGTGAGAGGGGTCTGGTGGTGGGTTGGTGCAACCAAGTGGAGCTGTTGGCACACCCTTCAATTGGGTGCTTCGTGATGCATGGCGGATGGAACTCGACAATCGAGAGCTTGGTGGCAGGAGTGCCAATGGTGGTTTTACCAGAATGGAGTGACCAAACCACAAATGCATGGCTGGTAGAGAGGGTGTGGAAGTGTGGTGTGAGAGCGAAGGTCAGGGAAGATGGGGTCTTGGAGGAGGCGGAGCTGAAGAGGTGCATTGAGCTTGTAATGGGTGGTGGTGAAGAGGGAGCAGAGATGAAGAAGAAGGCAAGGGAATTGAGTTGGTTGGCAAAGGACGCATGGAAAGAAGGGGGGTCATCAGAAATCAATCTTGATCGACTTTTAGAGAAGATTGTAGCATAGAGCTGATCAGCTTTTAGAGTAGATTGTAACATACAGTTGGCGTGATTTATGTCCTATATGTGTTTGTTTTTTTGAATGAATGTGTACATGTTTATGGTTTGGTTTAGTTAATGGAAGAATTATTCATGTTTTCTCAGTGTCATCAAATTTACTCGTGTAAACAATCTAAGCATGCATTTTTTGGGATATAGACGTTCAAACCACCAAAAATTTTGACAAAAATGGAGTTTTGTGTTTACCTAATTAAATTCCGCTTTCTTCTAAAAAAAATTAGTGCTAATGGCTTGTAAATATTTTTCAAATCAATGGTTAATTCAGCCATTATTATCTCTTTAAAGATGTCATTAGTGTCAGTTTTCTATCCGCTTGGGTATTCCACTACAGTTGTCTCCTTGTTCCGTCTCCCTGGTCTTGAAGTATTTTCCGAGTCCTCCATGGATCTCCTAGTGGAAGAAGGTACTCATTGTGACTAAGCGAAATCCACTTCATTTGCCATTCCTGTGGACAACGACAGTCATGGAGGAGATCATAGGCATCACCAAAAGAGACATTCCATGTTTCTAGATATGCTAATATGAAACTCACCTTTAATAGTGGGGGTTGATATGGCAGTACTCTATTATTACAGACCCTCTTTTTCTTTAACAATTTCCTCTCAGTACCCATATAATCTGTGCCTGGTATTATTGTATACTTTTCTAAATCAACGAATTGGTTAAATAAGAATATCCCTTTGAATGTTGAATTAGTCATAATTTAATCCTCTATGATTAATCACTTCACAGTTTGGGAACCCATGGTTCATAAGGAGCCCCTAACCAGCTGGTTTCTTTCTTACCTTCTTCTTCTCCCAGAAAAGTCATTTATATACTCTGTGTCTACTATCCGCATTCTCCAAGTAACATATAAAACCAAGCCCATGTGGCGCTTTTACTGAAAGCCAGTAGAGATGAATGAATGTGAGGCATCCTTGGTAGTTTGAAATGGAACTTAAAAGCCTGAGAATAACATATGGGTAAGATATTTGACCCATAAACAGCACAAGTACCTTGACACCTCAAACAAAGGACCTTCATTCCTCATATTTCCTAGTGTGCAAGATTCAAATAATGTTGGCTAGGAATTAACAAATATGAATGAGGAGAAGTGTGGACTACCAATAGTCCAGACAAGAACATTTTCCACCTTTGAAATGGTGAAAGCGGTAAGGATCCCTCAATGTGATCTCCCTCCAAGTGATTCCACTCACAAACTTGTATACCGTATGACAATCTCCACAAACACGAAGGTTTTTCATAACCATTAAACTAGATTCTTCAGGGGTGTTCATCAACCCAAAAGCTAGTGCGAGCTTTTCACTGTGGTTCCAAAGGTTATGCTCCTTCTGTTCTTCATCAGTATCATGCAAAACAAAGCTTGTATCAGCAACATAACCAGCCTCTTTGATCATCTCTATAATCTCCATCAATTTATCATAAATCTCTTCAATTTGTGGGTGAGTTCGGTCCCCCATGCCAAATGAACTCACTTTGTTCTTCACCTTAATCCAGCTACAACCAGGATGCTTCCTTACTTGAATTGAGTTCATACTCCCTCTCACCTTCTCCACATCCTTCCACTTTCCCTTTGCAGCATATATATTAGAAAGAAGAACATAAGCAGAATCATCTTGTGGATTTAAGACAAGAAGTTCCTTAGCTGCTCGCTTACCCATCTCTAAATTCCCATGGGTTCTACATGCTGCAAGCAAGCTTCTCCAAACAAGGCCATTCGGGGAAATTGGCATCTCCATGATAAACGTCTCTGCCTCAATAAGTCTTCCTGAACGACCAAGCAGATCAACCATACACACACAATGTTCTATACCAGGTGGGACCCCAAAATTTGAAGTCATCAAAGAGAAGTAAGAGAGACCCTCATCAACTAAACCCACATGGTTGCATGCAGAAAGAAGAGCAACAAAGGTTACATGATCAGGTTTCAAACCCACTTTAAGCATTCTTTGGAAAGCTTCTCTAGCTTTCTCAAAGTACCCATGCCTTGCATACCCGGATATCAAAGTGTTCCATAAAGCTCGCCCTTTATCAGAACTAGTTTCAGAGAATATCCTTTCTGCATCACCCAATTTTCCCCCTTTTCCATACATATCAGTTATTGCAGTTAACACATGTGCATTAGCTTCGAACCCCTGCTTAACAATCAATGCATGAACCTGCTGACCCTCTTCTATGACTGCTAAACTAGCACAGGCGGCGAGGCAACCAGAGAGACTGAAGTGGTCGATCTCATATCCAGCCTGTAGCATTTGCATGAACAATTTAAGAGATTCTTCGCCACGACCATGATGGGCATTTGCAGCTATCATGGCATTCCATGAGACATTGCTCTTGTTAGAGAGGTTATTGAAGATCTCAGCACTTGAATCGAGATCACCACACTTTGCGTACATCATGAGAAGGGAATTCCTCACATATTCATCGGACCCAAATCCATATACAATTACACGTGCATGTAATGGCATGCCATGAACCATTAAGTCCTCTGAAGTTGAACAAGAAGCAAGTATGTTAACCATGGTGATGTAGTTCATATCAGAGCATCCTTGTCTCATCAGATTGAAGACCTTGAAAGCCTCTTCTGTCTCTTCATTATCAGCATGCCCACCAACCATGGCATTCCAAGTCACAACATCTGGTTTGGCAATTACACCAAAAACACGTACTGCTTCTTCCATTGCATCACACTTGGCATACATGGTCACCAATGTATTCATTATCAGCACATTTTCTTGGAGCCCCCCATGAACTACATGAGTATGGAGCATTTTTCCCTTTCCCAGGGAGTCAGAACTCAAACATGCTGAAAGTGCATTTGTCAAAGTCACATGATTGATTTCATCACCATTCCAAAGCATTTGTGATAAGAGATCAAATGCATATTGGCATTGGTTATTATGTGCATAGCATCCTATCATGGAATTCCATGTTATGATATCTTTTTTGGGCATTGAATGAAATACAAGCTCTGAATGGCCTGAGCAACCAGAGTAGGTATACATGTGAATAAGTGTGTTGCAAATCGGAATAACAGAGTCGAGCCCAATTTTCATGGCATACCCATGAATTCCCTTCCCCCATTTTAGATTCTCCACAGAGCAACAAGCTGTTATTAAACTAGAGAGAGTGTTAGAATCGGGCCACATATTAGCATTTAGCATTTCCTTAAAACATTCAAAACTAAAATCAAACAACCCATCATGTACGAACACAGAAATCATCGAAGTCCAAGAGATTGTGTCTAGTTCGGGCATCCATTTAAAGACCCTCTCAGCATCTTCTATGCATCCAAAATTCCCAAACATGGTAACCAGTGCATTTCCAACTGATACATTGTCTTCGTATCCAGTCTTCACAACATGGCCAATCACCTGGGCCCCCAAAAATTCATTTCCTAAAGCCCAACAAGAGCTGATCACAGATGCGAAAGTGTTCTGATTTGCTTCGCATCCTTTTCTTCTCATTTGACAGTAGAGCTCAATTGCTTCCTCCGGTCTACCAAAGTTCATGTAACCCACTATCATTGCAGTCCAAGAAACCACATTTCTCTCAATCATCTCTTCAAATACTTTTCTTGCACATAAGATAGAGCCATGGCTTCCATATAAGTGTAAAAGAGCAGTGGAAACAAAGACATCAGCCAATAATCCACCTCTTACTATGCAACCATGAACCATTTCACCATGTTTCCCTTGAGAAGACCTTGCACAAGCTGTGAGGACACTTGCTAGAGCAAACCCATTAATGAGCTTCACACCATCTCTCTTCATCTCAGAGAACAAATCCATGGCTTCATGGTAACGACCCAATTGCACATAGCCTGAGATGATGGTGTTCCATGATGCCTCATTTCTCACAGGCATTGCTCTGAGCACATGGTAGGCTTCTTCAAATTTCCCAAATTTCGCATACATGGAGATCAAGGTGTTATTTTGAAACAGGCTGAGTTTGAAAGACTTTCTCATTGAAACACCATGGATTGCTTTTCCATGATTCAGAGTACTGATTTCCGAGAAACCACGACGGAGATCGAGACCACCCATTTGCGAAACTATGGAGAGTCGGGAGATATTCAGGGTGCCATGGCTTGTGGGTCTGGTTTGATAGGAGAAGAAGGAATTGGGTTTCTTTTGTTGTTGAAGAAGAAGAGCATTCTGGGAAGAAAAATTAATGGTGAATTTGTGCCTGAAAATTGAAGATGGCTTAGAATGCAAAGCCAGCTTTCTAAATTCAAATACCAGTGTTTTTCTCTCTCTCCATAGACGGGCAACGGCTATGACAGAAGAACATGACCGCGTCCAACTTTTTTTGAAATATTTCGCGAAATATCGCGGGATTTTCGTTCATTCAATTAGATTACCATAAAAACGATTTCTGTGGAAGGCGGGCCCAACAAAAGAATGTAATCCCGAGATCTGTAGTTTTGTTTTAAGAACTTTGCACTTCTCTCTTGTTTTTAATGATATTTAACAAACTTTGGTTGATTTTGAAAATTAATTTCATGGAAGATGGTTGATCTTTTGGTTATACTTTAAGTAGTCCAAATTTTTGCTAGAATCACGTTGAGTTGTATAATAAATATATTTTTTTTACCGTTCTAATAATAGATGGGGTTTTGGTGGGTGAGCTAGTATTCCAAAAAATCCACAATCCAGGTTGGGAGCTGTCAATCTATGTCGGGAATTGGTGGGGACCGATTCCGAACGGGGAATCGGTCCAATTCTGATAAATTCATCAACTTTCGTTAGGAAACTAAGCGAGTCTGTCACCAAACCAGGCGATCAAAATCGACTGAATTGCCTAGTCTTCCTACCCATTCCAATTTGCACTATTTTATTTTCAAAATTTTAATTTTTAAATTTACAATTATTGTTTACGTTTTTTAGACAATTCTAGCATGGGAGAATTTGTCCAATACTGATCCATCCAAAGGGTGACCGATCTGGGTTTTAAAACATTGGGTCAGCCAATGCAAGATTATTTCAGAATCCAACTTAGAGATGATTTTGGACTCGAAAAATTTTCAAGCCGATGATGTCCGCACTATGATATGGATGACAATGAAAAATAGATTTAGACCTTCAGTTTTTTTTTCCCAAAATGTTTATCACAGGTCACTTTAATTCTTTGCATATCATCATATATACAATATTTTTTATGAATCTAGAGTGAGTCAAGGGGTACAGCATGTCGGGTCTAGCAGGACCCTGACCCAGACTTAAACCCAAACTTAACTGAACCCGACTAGACCCAATCAGACCTTGGTCGGGTCTACCTGTCGGGTTGTTCCCCATATGCAACATATTTTATTTTTGCTCTTCTTTAGCACACATGTCGCACGGTGTTAGTGAGCTAATATCAGCTATCATCACCAAAAAATGAAAAAAAAAAGTATATAATGATACCATTTACTTTTAGTACAAGGTGGTCACAATTAATCTTGACCATTTGATGTAAAATAGGTTGACTGCATTTATTTTATTGCCCAAACTCAATATTAAAAAAAAAAATTTCAAACTTTGTGACACATCCAAGCTATTAGATTTCATATGGTATGAATATAAGTAATTGTGACATCCTTATACTAAAAGTAAATAATCTCACTGTATATACTTCCTTTTGGAAATGGTCACCCTGAAAATTTTAACCAAGCTAAATTTATCCGAGAATTAGAAAGTAAGTCATGTTTACAAATTTATCGGAGGGTAAATCAACAAGAATTAAATGTTCCCAACCATTTATATTACCAAATACAATAAGGTATTTTCGACATTACCTCAAGTAATATTTAGAGTTTTAGCTTTTTATTCATGTTGACATGTGTCAACAATTTGACATGTATACAATATTAGACACTTTGTTCGTATATGTCAAGCTAGTTAAGTGGCATATTTGAAGTATCGATGCTATGTAGCTATTTAAACTTTAATGATTAAATATAGGTACACTACGTAATTAAGAGAACTATGCATAACAAAATATTTTAAGCAGCATTTTATTTGTTTATTATTAATTAGACACTTTTAAATTTCATACATTTAGTTAAACTTGATAACTAAAATTTTTAAAGTTTTTATTTTTATTTTTATTAATTAAGTTAGGATTTGCAAGCCCGCCACATTATGATAAGAAAATAAATAATAACTAATAGAGAATGAAAATTCAATCATAAACATTCCAATTAGCTACAATAGTGATCATTATGTTTTTTGAAAAAATAAGGAATAAGAGATAAAAAGAGATTATTGATATATATTTATCTTATTTTGGCTGTTAGAGAATACAATGAAGTGTCTCTTAAACACGACAACCATGTTGGTATTATTGTAATACTGCAAATTTTCATGTATTAACATAGATTTGTGAAGGACACAATTGCACCATCTTCATAATTTTGTGGAGGCGGGGATAGCTCAGTTGGGAGAGCGTCAGACTGAAGATCTGAAGGTCGCGTGTTCGATCCACGCTCACCGCATTTGTTTTTTATTGGCCGATTTATTCTAAATTTTATTTTGGGAAATTAGGTAAATACTTTATTATGAAAATACCTAATAGGTTCCTTTTTTCATTGGCCGACTTATTCTAAATTTTATTTTTTAGATTTATTTTTTTAAAAAAAAGAAACTATCCATTTTCGGTTAAATTTTATTTTTTAGATTTATTTATTTTAACAATGGTATGGGTTTAAAGCCTGAACTGTCTTCTCTAAGCATATTCTTTTGTTCTCTTTGGGTGATCTAAATGGGGTTTGATTTTGATTTTAAGGACGAGGAGATTGCGATGGTTCCACCGTCATGGCTGAAACCTCTTTTAGGAACGAGCTTCTTTCACCAATGCAAGTCACATGGAATGCAGCATGTTATGTTTTAACTGAATAATTGGCACTCTCTACTCCTCTGGTTTCCTTGTCCACCGCCATCATCGCATGATTCAGGTTCCCTTTCTTGTGAGAGAGGTAAGAGATGTAGATTGGGATTTCTTGTGAGAGGTAAGAGTGAGAGAGAAGAAAAAATGCAGAGGAGAGAGAGGATACCGAGTTCAAGAGCGCTGGTTATGTTTGGACTGAATCATTGGCACCCTCTACTCCTCCTGTCTCCTTGTCCACAGAAGAAAAAATGCAGAGGAGAGAGAGAGAAGACTAAAGTTCCAGAGCGCAGTGAGAGACCGAAAGGTGTTAAAAAAGACACTGCTTAATTTCCGCTTTTGAGGTTATAAAATTGACATGGCTCAATTTTGGTTTTTCAAAAATCGAAATAGGCCAATCGAAAATGGATAAAACCATATTTTTTTATAAAAAAAATTTATATGAAGTTGAAAAATGAACATATCTATAATAACATAAGTTATTAGGTATTTTCATAATAACATAAAATAAAATGGATACTTACGTAATTTTTCCTTTTATTTTTAATACAGATTCGATTCGGACCCGACTATGGGTCCCGTGTAATTCCCCATTGTTGTCGCATGCATAAAGCCCTGATATAAGTTATCTGAGGAATATTAAGTAAAGGGTGCGGTTTGTATAAAGTCAATGCTCTAAACAATCAAAGTAAAACACACCTTCATATAATGTCGAGAAATGTGGTTTCAATACTAGAAATCTTTGTGATTGCTTTAAAATATATTTCCATTTCTAATTTTATAATTGAAAGCTTCAAAAATAGTGTAGATGGAGCAGATTTATGAAAGCTTGAAAATCTTGAAAATTGACGGTCCAAAAATGTATTACAAGATGCACTATTTTCAAATCTTGAAATCCATTTTTTTTCTCATGTCCATGGGTCTTGATGTCGAGATGATCAATTTGAGGATTTTGGGCATCAAAACATCCTCTTCTAATGAAATTTTTGAGGTGCACCTTAATTTGATTGTTTTGAGCCTTGTACTTATATAAACCTTTTCTTTTAGTAAAATAACGCATATAACATGCTCCCTGTTGACCACCCCTTGAATTTTAGCTAGAACGATTCTCATAGGGTCCGCACTATAATAAAAAAATAAAACCCTAGGGTCCACACTAGTTCAAGTAACCATAGTACACACCAAAAGTGTAGTCCACACCCCAAATCATAGTCAAACCTTAGGAACATCCCCATAATAATCCTAAATATTCAAAATAACCAATTTTAGTATCATATCCCCTCAAAATAGGCATTCAAAACCCCCTAGGAAAGAAAATTAACAAAAATCCAGTCAAAACCTCCCAAAATTGGGAGTTGCACTACAATTTTCGAGGAGCAGGTGGCAACCATATCTTAGTTAACACGTTGTGGATTCTATTCCCACTAACACCACCCCATTAACATCATAAAAAAACCAACTTTCAAATTATTTAAAAAAACAGATAGGGGTCTATCGTCCCACTTAATTACCAAAAAGAAATAAAAATAAATTAAATGTCCAGGACTTAATCTAGGCCATCACTTTTTAATTATAGGGGTCTTGCCTTATATATAGGACACTTCCGATCAATTCTGGAACACTTAGAGAAGAAAACAAAGAGCCTAAATTCTGGACTCTCCCATGACTTAAAAAAAGCCTAATGCTCGCTTTCTTGCCTTCCCAGGCAAAGTCTAGAGGTCTTTCTAGCCAACTCGAGATCAAAATCAGACTTGAAATAAAAACCCTGGAGAACAATCATATGCACAAATTTTCTCTCGGATCCATCAACCTTGAAAGTGAAAGGAGCAAGGACTGACCCCTTCCATCAACCTTGTAGGTGAAAGGAGCAAGGACTCACCCCTTCCCGTCATGGATCTCCACTCTTAGTGTCAGGCCATTTCCTATTTTATTCCCTTTATTCTAATGTTGTTCGATTCGTTTCGGAGTCTTTTTCGGTTTGGTGAGAAAAATGAAGTAATTCTGTGCTTCGGTTGATTCGGAAACGACTTCGGATTTTTTTTTAATTTAGTATAAATAAATTAAATATTTATATATATAATATATACAAATAATAAAAAAATAAAAACAATAAAATTTTTAAAAATATATTTATACAGCTACTTACTTCTTTGCTGACCGAAGCAAACTCCAAGCAGTCCGAATTTGACTGAAGCGACAACACCAGGCTTCTCTTCTCTTCCATTTATACCTAAAATCCGAAAGCTTCGGCCGAAGTGAAAGACAACATTGCTTTATTCCATTCGCCTACTTCAAAAGTCTTCTAAACGTCATCCTCCTGTTTTTACACGATTTATGGGTTTACACAATTGAGCCAGCCATTGGCTGACCATTACAAGTGAGGTCTATTTGGAGGTTGATCTCTCAAAGATTGAAATTTATTGAAACCCACTTTTACAGACTTAAATTAACAATTTTGCGCATAGATCAGGAGGGTGAATTTATGGAGTCTATTTCGTCCTACATTTTGCTTGTAAATACTCCTACCCGACCATAATTTAC